CCAGCGCCGTCGACGCGACGGCCGTCGTCATCAGGACGATCGCTTTGTCAGAACGTGACCGGGCAGGGGCAGGAACCTCGACAAGCTCCCCCAACGCCGCACGGAGGACGAGCATCGGCCTGCCAACGCACAGCGAATGCGACTCCTCGAGACGGTGGGCACAGAGAAGACGACCTTGCCCGCCCCGCGCGCCGTGAACGGGGCCCTCCAGCGCCCAGCGCGGAGCTCCACAGCGTTCGGACAGCCCTCGCACCGCCTCCAACCCCCGCAGGAAGCTCGAGGGCAGCTGGAGGGTCACGACGCTCGGCCCGCCGACGGCGGGCCGGGTGCTCCGCCTCTGGGGAGGTGCACCTCGCGCGCGCGGCGTGCGGTGCCAGCTCCGAGGCGCAGCACCGCAGGCGCACGCGTAATTATCTGCATGGGCCAGGTGCAGCCGCCCGCCGAAGCGACGGCGGAGGGGCCGTCCGAGGATGCCGTCCGGGACGGGCTCGGGCCCGTCAGGTGACGCAGGGCGCCAAGACGAGGAGACCACGAAGCCGCTGCTCGGCTTCGGCGCCGCCGTCCTCGGGGCCATGGCCCCCTGGACGGCTGCTTCGCCGAGAGCCCTTTCGACCCGACCGCTTCACCGACGGACCGCTTCGCCGACCGACCGCAAGCTAGCCGCTTCGTCGACGGACCCTCGCCATCGCTCGGACGTCCATTCCCCGTGCATTTGTCGATGTCGTGCGTGTATTTTCCGCTAAATGATCAATGATGTTCCTCGATTGTCTTCGCCGAGAAAAAATGCACACGTCCGAGCGACGCCAAGGACCTCTTGCTTGCCCTGCACCCCGCCCGCTTTCGTGCTCCGCCCGTCCGTCTGGGCCCGTCCACCAACCGGTTACCAGCCCGCCCGTCCGCCAGCGAACTGGTCCTCTGGCGGACCTGTCCTCGGCGAACCGGCCCGCCTGCGAACTGGCCCTCGGCGAAGCGGTCCGCCCGCGAACGTGTCCGCCGGCCAACCGGCCCTCGGCGAGCCACTCTTCGGCGAAGAGGTCCGACGGCGAAACGGCTCGGGCGAACCGATTCGGGCGCACGGGCCCGCCGGCGAAGAGGCCTCGTGCCGACCCGCAGATGCCCCGAGGTCCTCGGGGCAGCTGCGGGTCGGCACCTCGGAGGAGGCGGCTTCGACCCCAGACCCCCGACGTCATGCATGACGTCGACCCCCCGAGGTCTCGACCCATTCCCCGGGACCGGTTTTTCGTCCTGAGTCGTTTTTTGACGGTCCCGAGGGCCGGTAAGGGCCCCCAAAGGCCACAAATAATGAAACACCTCCCGCCGTGATTTTTTCAGAACTCGAGGGGGTCTGGGACACCCGGCGATGTGCCCTCGCGATCGTGTAGGCCCCGCGCACCGGCAGCCCCGCCTGCGGCGCGGGAGAGGAGGCGGTTGGCGCCCCCTCGCCTGGCGAGAAGGCCAGCCCTCGGCGGCCCGGCGCCTGGCGCCCGACCTCGGCGCGCCGGGCGCCAGGCCCGTGCATCTGCCGGGCGAGCGTGAGGTGCGAGGCTCCTTCTCCTCCTCCTCCTCCTCCTCCTCCTCCTCCTCCACCTCCTCCTCCCCCTCCTCCTCCTCCTGCCTCTCCTCCTCCTCCTGCTCCTCCTCCTCCTCCTCCTCCTCCTCCTCCCTCCTCCTCCTCCTCCTCCTCCTCCTCCTCCTCCCTCCTGGTCCTGCTGCGACGCAACTTCTTCAGCAAGGGCGCTCCAGCTGACTCGTTTACGCATCAGCCGCGTCATCCACAAGCCAGCGCCGACACGTATACTCGCCATCGTTATCGCCACCTTCGCCACAGTCATAGGCACAGCAGCCATGATGATTGATGCCACCAGCGTCACCACGCGCCATGATCACAGCCATCGTCATCGCTGTTGTATCAGCACACAAGAAATGTCAAAAATGTCACACAGCAAACTCCACCACAGGATGGATATCACAACCATCAACACCTTCAACGCCAGCATCGTCAAAAGCATCACCATCTAATCACAATCGCAGGTTGTCACCGCCACCAGCGTCGCAAGAGCATCGTCATTGCAAATCACCCCATGGTTAATCCTCATCGTGGTTTCAGGCTGCGGATTCTTCTGATTCAGGCCAACGGCTCGGACAGAACTGGATTCGGGAGGATGAGGAGGAACGAAACAACAACACATGAGTAAGGAGTACTATCTACATACCGCTATCTCGAGTCTCGTCGGTGGCCCAAGAAATAATCAGTTCCAGCGTAAGATTACAGTGTCCGTATCTTGATATATCCCTTCACCCTGACTCTTTTTTTTTTTGTTCTCTCTCTCTCTCTCTCTCCGCCTCTCTCTCTCCTTCCTCCTCTCCCCTTCCCATCCATCCCCCACCCCATCCCATCCTCCGATCACCTCCTCCCCTTCCTTCACCCTCCCTGCCCGTCGTACTTGTGGGCAAGCGATTTCAATCTTTCGATGGTGCCCACAACAGCTGTCCCAGAAGAGAAGGGCTGGGCAAAAGATCAGTACGAAGACGCTTGCAACAATGTTCCTTCAATCCAGGCCATCAGGAGACTGTAGTTTCCATGGGGGCTCCGAGGTGCCCCAGAGGTGTGTCAGAACCAGACTTTGCATACAGCCGCAGCACGGCCAGGCTGGTGCCAAAGTCCCAGCGTCACTATTGTGCCAATCACCCCGTCCCTGCTGCGCCGCTGGCGACCGCTGGTTTCGCCGACGGCTGGTTTCGCCGACGGCTGGTTTTGCCCGGCTGGTTTCGCCCGGCTGGTTTCGCCGCCCGGCGAAACCAGCTCCGTCGGCGAAACCAGCTGCCGTCGGCGAAACAAGCTGCCGTCGGCGAAACTGCCCGACCCGACCCGCCCGCTAGGGTCCGCCCGCCCGACCCAACACGCCCGTTAGGGTTCGCGCGTGCTCGGTCGATCGCGCCCCGCACTTTAATGTCCCGCCCGCCCGACCCGACCCGCCCGTTAGGGTCCGCCCGCCCGACCCGAACCGACCCGCCCGCTAGGGTCTGCCCGCCCGACCCGACCCGCCCGTTAAGGCTCGCTTCGGCGAAACCAGCGCCGGCGAAACCAACGCCAGCGAAACCAGCCGCCGGCGAAACCAGCGGGGCGAAACCAGCAGGACGAAACCAGCGCCAGCGAAACCAGCGCCGGCGAAACCAGCCGTCGGCGAAACCAGCCGTCGGCGAAACCAGCGCCGGCGAAACCAGCGCCGGCGAAACCAGCTCATGCCGCGCCTCTGCGGTCCCGCACAGTGGCCTGCTGCCTCCTCCCTCCCTCGCTCCCAGCCCCCCTCTCTCTCTCCCTCTACTCGTACACGTCCGCTGGGAACTCTCAGAACTAGAGGCCTCCGTGATGGGGTCCGAGTAGATGGGGTCGGCGGATCGCGCCGCAACTCCGATACGTCGGCGATGCATCGGCGATGTATCGGCGATGCATCGGCGATGCACTGGCGATGCATCGTCGACGTGGGCGATGCATCGGCGACGTCGACGTGCAGCAAAGCGGGCTACGCATCGAGCCGCATCGTCGATGCATCGGCAATGCGGCGCGATTCTCCGACCACCTCTACTCAGACCTCATCTACGAGGACGAGAAAAATATGCCCCCCTGCCCCCCCCTCCCCCGCCCCAAAAAAATCCCTGCCCCCCCGCCCCCCTCGCCCCCCCCTCCCCCCTGACCCCCCCCCCCTGTCCCCCCCGCTCCCGCCCCTCCCTAGAAGAACATGCCCCCCCTGCCCCCCCCTTCCCCCGCCCCAAAACCATCCGACCCCGCAGCAGAAGGCCCGCAACCGCGCTCCACAACCACGATGGGGGGCCACGATGGGCCACCGATTTCGGGGGCCCGGGCTGTCGCACCGGGCGTTGGAAGCATTGCGCGGAACTTTTGCGGACAGGCCTTTTATAGGGAACGCCTCACACGGTGGGGGGCGTTGGTTTGGGAATGTGTCCGGGAGGCTTCAGACCCTGGAGGGTCCCCTACCCCTGGAGACCCCTGATTCCTTATCCGAGGGTTCCTTATCCAATGCCCTCGCCGTGCCAGACCGACGGCCGCTGGCGGGATCAGACGGTCGGGCGGCCTGCTTGTATTCCTGCTCGGTCTTCTTGCGCAGCTCGTTCGAGCTGCGTATGACGAGGCCTGCCCGCAGGGACATCGACTGGTGCTCCTGGAGGCGGGTGGCAGAACGGGCAGCTTCGCTCTCGGGTGTTGCACTGCTACGCGAAAACAGCGAAAACGAAGAACATCTCCATAGCATCATAGCGTCTGGGCTCGAGAATATGACGCATTTCTAACGAAAGGGAGGACTCTACAATATAGGCTTCAGAAATCCGCGGGCCCCCTTGTGGGGCAACCAGGCTGCGAGGGAGAGGGTTGCAGCTCCCTGTTCCACTTGCAGCTTCCAGTTTCCACTGCTACAGTCCTGCTTTCTGCTTCCTTACTGTTAATTGTTGCTGAGCGCGCGAGGGGGGGGAGCCCCAAACCAGCTTTTTTTACCACGTCCAGATCGCGTTGTCTGAATTCCTGGGGGGGGGGGCGTGGGACACGTAAAAATACATGACATTCGCGTCCCCGAGGCCATCATCCCTGGTCAATTACGCCATGTTCGCGTCCGATATTCGCGTCCCCGAAGCCATAATCCTTAGTAAATTATGCCAGATTCGCGCCCCGAAGCATAAACCCTTGTAAGTTACATAATGTTCGCGCCCCCGAGACCATAAACACATTTAGATTACAGAATACTCGTGCCCCCGCCCCGAAAAAAAGAACAACCTTTGTAATTTACACCAAAATCGCGTCCCCGAAGCCATAAACCATCGTAACTACCTAATGCTCGCGCCGCCGAAGCCATAAACCCTGATGAATTAGTACTGGCCTTCGCGTGAAGTCCCGACATTGCTTCACGTCAACGTCCAGACATCCCAACACAGCTCAGGCAAGTCCCATTCCCCTTACGGATAACAACATTCCTCCGGACCGATGTCTTTTTTCAAAGGGCCAAACACTAGGCTGCACGATGCGATCGGGATATTCACAGTTCACGCGCCGACGCGCAACGTAAAGCGCTTATCTTGAGAAAAACCCGGGCTCAGATCGTGTGCCCCTGGAAGCTCCAATCGTCGCACTTGGACTCCTCGAGCATCTTCCAGAAGGTGCTCTCCCACTCGCCCGTCTCCTCGTTCTTCTCCTTGATCCACAAAGCCACCTGCATCATGCGCCGCGGGATGTCCCAGTCGCTCCACAGCGACTCCACCGTCTCATCGTCATCGCGCGGACGCGATGTCTTGTTGAACAGTGGTCCCCACGCGTCCTTGTCCTTGCAGACGAGCTCGATCTGCTCGAGGGAGTACTCGGGTTTCCACTCCTGCACCTTCTGCCTGATCTCGCCAACCGTGGTCTCCGCGGTTACCGGCACTGCGAACATCCCCATCGTCGTGAGGATCTTGACCTCGGGCACGTGGTCCGAGTCGCGCTCGGCGATCTCCGCGGCGCCCTTCTTGATCAGGCCGCCCTTCTCGTCCCAAATCTCCCGATCGGGGGCGGTGTTCTCCGTGAAGATGATCTCCTGCCCCTCCTCCTCTGCCATCGCAGCGGCGTGCCGGCACCGGCGGCGCGCAGGAACCTCTCGCGGGGGCCCGGTGGCTTCCTCGAAGCGAGGCTGCCTGAGCCAAAATGGCTACGGATTCCTCTGTACCGGTGTCTTGAATACGATACTCCAGATTTCGTAAGAAAAGGGAGGGGGTCTCAACCCTCCCAGACGAGAAGTTTTAGACCCCCCCCGTGGGAGAACCCTCCAAAACATCGTCCCCAGACCCCCCCAGGCCCTCCAAGATAGCCTTGAAGAGACCCCCCCCGAAATGAGACCCCCCTCCCTTTATTACGAAATCTGGAGTATCGGTCTGAGACATGTCCCGGGTTGGTTCGGTGTCTTGCGGGTGTCTGGCGCGACATCGAATCTAGCCTGGAGGCTGGCTGGCTGCGTCACCAACAACCAGGAGCCGGTGTCATGCCCGGACAAGGTGCAGAATGAGCAGGCGCGCAAATTGCATGCATCCCTACTTCATGTTTACAAGATGTCGGGTTTCAAAAAGTTGCCTCCCCTGCCCTAGCAAATTTTGACCTCCAAGGACCTCTTGAACGCCCCTGCAAGCCGTTCCCCCGCCCGTCCATGCGACCTGACCGCCCCTGCTGGGCCCACAAAACGGGCCCAAAGCGCCGTCTCACGAGAGCCCTAAGCGGTCCCAGAACCCCCCGAGACGATCCAAGATGACCGAAAGGAGAGCCCTCAAACTTTCTTTAGGATATTGCGATATGGGGACATTCTATTATTCGCATCCGAGATCGCTCAAGAGGCCTAAAAGATCGCCCCAAGACGGGCCAAAAAGGCTTCAAGACGGCCCCAGAGTGACCAAGACGCCCCAACAGGGCCAAAAGACTGCCCCAAGACGGCCTGAAATGATCCGAAAACGCAAACCAAAACACTCAAAATCGGAACCTGGTCGTTGAGGGAAACCATGATCAGCAGCAAGATGGCCCCAAGAAGCTCACGGAGAACTCCCAAAGGCTCCCAGGAGGCCCCCAGATGTCTTTACCAAGCCCCCCAAATGCCTTCGAGAAAGGAGAAGCCTTCGGAAAAACTGAGAGGGAGGACTGGCAAAGGAGGGAAGGGCAAAACGACAATAGAAACATGGATGTGTGTTCATTCTCCCTCGCTCCGCTTGTCATGGCGCGAAAAACAATGCAGCCTCCTGTATGTGTATATGCATGTACGTGTGAAAGGACATGCACGTCTGTTGTTTCATAAGTACAGACATACACACATACAAACACACACATACCTACGTACATGCATGCATACATACATACATACCTAACTATCTACCTATCTGCCTACCTACATATATACATAATTTGTGTATGCATTGATGTTCAAGGATCATGTAAGCATATGCATGTGCGTGCTCGCAAACGTGCACACGTGACGCACCCTTGCCCCCCCGTATGACGCAAGCAAAGCGGACGACGGGGAACCGGAAGAAATCGGATCCGCGGACCCCGGAACCCGCCCGTGTTAAGATTATTCGGGGGAAGGGGGTTCGGTCATTAACTTCAAACTCATCATCGCCATTTGCACCTCAAGAGGAACATCTTCCGTTCTGCGTAACAAGTTGTGATCTGTTGTGCAAGAGTAGACAGGGGGGCGAACTTGAAAAAAGGAAAATGTGTGATTTCATTGATTTTCAAGTTGCCGTGACTGGGCTGTGGGGCTGTGTGTTAGAAATTAGAAGTTTTCTGGACGCAGGCCACGGTATGTTGGGATGCCCCTGAGGGCCTTCGTGCAAAAATAGGCAGGGGGGGAGTTTGAAAAACAGATTTTTGATGGCCGCACAACACTAGCTGGGGCATGCTTTATTGCCTGGAAGGATCTGTCATCTGCTGCGCTACTGGACGACCTTCTGGGCACCGGCAGCAACATGCGTAAACAGACCTCAGGCCCTGAGCCCAAGTACATCCAGCGGTATCAAACATACGCAGAAGCCACCCAGCAAGGTCGGAATGTCTCTATGCCTGTTGGGAGCAAGTGCCCGCATTGGGCATACTATCATGCATGTAGGTTCATACATACTAGAAGCATCGCATGCGCTCCGCACGCGTCCAAGTTCTACTTCCTGGAAGCCCCGTGCGCGGTCATTCGGTCATTGTCCATGCGATATCATGCTATGCGCAGCTGCGCCATGCTTGGCTGTCCCACTCATAACTTTTTCGCGTGGCTCTGCATTCGCACTCTCCTCCGATCCTACAAGACTCGTCAAACAACAGTTTACGTCTTTTGTTTTCGGCGCTTGCTAGGTTCAATGCTGGCATGAAGTGTTTGGCCCACACGCAGGGGTGTCCGAAATCTGGCAGTGGCAGTGCCCTCACAGCATTGAAGAGCGCATTTTCTGACAAGTGCCCGAACTACCGGGCGCTTCGATTTTGAACGGCGTCTGAAATTATGTTTGACGAGGCTTGTAGACATCCTCCGCCTCGTACTCCTCCTCACCATTGCTATATTCCTTATCCTGCTCTCGTTGCGGGCTGGTCAACTCCATCTCACCCGTCCTATTCACTCCTCACTTCTCGTCATCACTCCATGCTCCTCGGCAACACTCCTCGCTCATCTTCTTCCTCGCTCCGCCGGATTCTTCCGCCTCCTCACTTCTCCTCCTCCTCCTCCTCATCATTGCCCTCCCCTATCTGACTTGTCGCCCTACCTATGACCTCGCCTCTTTCTTCTCCTAGCAGGGTGTTTGGGATATCGAACAAGACAGCTCCGAAAGCTCATGTATTCCCACGCAGGGCAGAATGTGTACATCTGTCTATGTTTATATATGTGTATATATATACATGTGCAGAGAGGGAGAGAGAATACACAACCAAAAATATTATGAGAGAGAAAACAGATAATGAGAGAGAGGGAAAGATATAGAAAAGGAGAGAGAGAGAGAGAGAAAGAGAGAGAGAAGGAGAGGAGGGAGGGAGGGAGTTGGGAGGCGGGCAGGAGTGTGAGGCAAAAGGGAAGGAAACAGTAGGGAGGAGGGACGAGGGAGGACGGACGGGGAAAGAGGGATGAGGCATGAAGGGGGAAGGTTGAGGGAGCAGAGGGGCAGGAAGGACGACAGAGTGCGAAGCAGAGGGGAGGGAGGTTGGAGCAACGAGGAGGGGGAGATGAGGCACCGGAGATGAACCAAGGGGAGCGGGGGAGAGAGGAGGGAGGGTGGAGGAGGGAGGCCCAAGCGTCATGTGAGGGAGGCCTCGTTGCCTCGAGGATGCGTGCGTCCCTTCACTGACCTCGAGGTGATCTGAAGCGGGCACCAATCAAACGTCACAGCGTTGGGGGATGGGCCTTTGGGGCATCCTTTGATACAGTCGGACTTGATTGGACAGGACACGCGAGAGGACACAAGACCCTTCCGAGGGCCACATTGCCACAGGAATGTAGGAAGCATGGGTCGCGAGACACAGGACACAAGGGTACCCTTGATTTGGCAGGGTCGACCTACTGACCTGGGCCGACTGTACACGGCGTCTCTTCCTCGCGGACCTGAGCGTGTTCCGGCGCTGGCCCCGTAGCTCGCGCGCGTGCCGCTCGCATCGCCGGCCGAGCGACAAGAGCTGGCGGGCAGGACTCGAAGCAGCCGAGCGGGGAGTTGGGCAGCGTGGTGGCCGGCGGCGGTTGGAGCCCTCTGGGGAAGCCCCTGGGAATGATGGGGAAGCCTCTGGGAATGATGATGATGAGGAGGAGGAGGAGGAGGAGCAGGATCAGGAGGAGGCGGAGGAAGCTTGGCACGTTCTGGCGAGGACGCGCCAGGCGGCTCTACGGTGCTGCAGCGTGTCTCGGAGGGCCTCTTTGGGCCGCCTCGGGGGCCTCCAGGGAGCCTCTTGGGAGCCTGTCGCGTCCCCGTGTGGGAGTCTTGGGGCCGCCTCGGGCGCGAGTCCACGCGAGCCTTCTCAAAAAATCTCGGTTGGGCCCATCTTGGGGCTGTCTGTACAGGTCGTGCGCCAGTCATTGGAGCCCTCTCCGCGGCAGTCTCGGGCTGTCCTGAGGGTCATGTTGGGCCGTCTTGGGGCTGGCTGAGGTCGTCTTGAGTCTTGGGGCCTCTCCGAGCTCTCCGAAGTCTTCCCGAGCCCAACATGAGCCAGGAAGCTTCGATATCATCACAAGTTGAATCTCCTCCTGTTTTCCTGTGTCGTTTCGCCTCTGCGCCTTTTGAGGTCCCACTGGGATGTGTTATGGCCTCTTGCATCCGTCTGGGCGGCTCTCGGTGTTGTCACTGGGGCCCTTGTGTGCACTTTGGTCCCTTCTAGCCTGATAGCAAGCACTTGGGACAGCCAAAGGCCCGGTACTGAAATCAATGACCCCATGCGGCCCCAGAGCCCCCCCATTTCTAACCATCCTGATATACAACGGTACACAAGTATACACATAGGAGGAGGCATTTGTACATATATATATATAGAGAGAGATGTATAAATATTATATTATCTATTCATACATGTATATATGAAAGAGAGAGAGAGAGAGAGAGAGAGAGAGAGAAAAACAAAAAGTGAAAAGGGCCGAACGGTCATTCACTGTCCCTGGGTGCGTGGCTGAAGTGGGATACCGCGGTGCGGATTATTGGTGGTGTTGCTGTTGTTGTTGAGCTTTCATAAAATATGGTTGATCCCCCCTCCAGTGACCATTGTGTTCTTTGACTGAAGTGCTTCCCCCGGAGCTCGCACCCTGTCTTTGTTCGAAAAGATCACTAGGCTCAAACTGGACCGTTGGCTTCCGGACCCCCGCTCCCGCCTGAAACTTCTTTGCAATTTATTCAGGAATCACCCTCTCGGCGCTCTGGGAGTCGCGCTCTCGCTGGAGACTCGCTTGCAATTTACTCCAGAATCGCGCCCTTGCGTTGGAATTTCCTGCAATTTACTCACGCGCCGCGCCCCCGACACTGAGGCAACCATGAGTCGCGCTCACGCTTAGGACTCCTTCGCAGTTTACTTAGGCATCGGGATCTCGCTGCCCTTCGTGGCCCCGTTGCCATCCTTCGCGGCCCCGTTGCAACCCTTCGTGGCCCCGTTGCAGCCCTTCGTGGCCCCCTCGCTGCCGTTCGTGGCCCCGTTGCAGCCCTTCGTGGCCCCCTCGCTGCCCTTCGTGGCCCCGTTGCAGCCCTTCGTGGCCCCCTCGCTGCCCTTCGTGGCCCCGTTGCAGCCCTTCG